AGTTACACCCGCTATTGATAATTTTGGTCAACATTGGACCTTGACACCGTCCACATAGCTATAGTGAAATAATATAATAGAAAACATTAAGCCTCTTTGATTTAATAATCTGATCTGAAACCTCGCTGCCATCTCATAAAACACACACTTCCTTATCAGTCCTGAGATTAGCGCCTGCAGGCAGGACCATGGACCCGTCAGCTCCGCACAGCGCAAAATGCGTACATGAGGGGAGTCTCAAAAACAGCGATCCGTGCACAGAGAGCGGGTTGTGTTTGCAGTTGCAGAGGTTTTATACGGAAAACAAATATGTGTGGATCAAAAATACATATGTTAAACTTTTTTCTGTATTTGGATTTTATTTACATGTTTATGAAACGTGTGGGGGAAACTTCTGAAGCAATTGGAAACAGGACTCAGAGAGACACGAGGAGAGCTGGAGCTCTCAAACACTGACGGTTTATTTGGAGCTTCGGGCCACGATCTGACCACACGGTTGAGATGCCAATCCAATTTTGAAGATCTCTACCCCAGACCCATGTGTTTAGCTAGTTCAGAGAGAATAATCAACATGCTGTATAGCAAGATAGAATCATAACACCTCTATCAGCTGAGGCCAACAGGCAGGAACAGGGAGACAGAACACTGAGAGCACAGCACCAAGGTTACAGGTGTGTGCTCAGTCTGGACAGAACTGATAAACTGGGTCAAAGTAAATGTTTCCCCAACAAAATGAAACACATTTGTGTGTGCATTGAAAAACAGTTTGATTCCCTCTGTGTGTGTTATGAGACTGTTCTGAGCCCACATCCAGAGCTCACTGACCTCCAGTCGGCCTGTAGTCGTCGTCTGAAGAAGAGTTTCGGCTGANCAAGATAGAATCATAACACCTCTATCAGCTGAGGCCAACAGGCAGGAACAGGGAGACAGAACACTGAGAGCACAGCACCAAGGCTACAGGTGTGTGTGCTCAGTCTGGACAGAACTGATAAACTGGGTCAAAGTGATGGGCCTTGGGAAATATCTCCCCAACATCTATTAATCTCTTTATCAGGTCTTTTCGACCCCTCAAAGCTCTTCCTACTACGAGTCATTCACCCATTCACACCTCATTCATACAGAGCAGCACCACTTGCTCTAGGGAAGCTACCACACACGCACGCACACACACACACACACACACACACACACACACACACACACACACACACACACACACACACACACACACACACACACACACACACACACACACACACACACACACACACCGTTGGCCATCAGGAGCACCTCAGGGTTCAGTATCTTGCCCAAGGTCACATGTCATTTGTGGGTAATCCAAACCAGAACTCCTTTAAAGAGGCCCTATTGCTTTTTGGTGTTTTCCCCTTTAATCTAGTGAGTGCTATATGTTTTAGTGCATGTAAATGGTCTGCAAAGGCTTATATCCCTGTGTTTCTCCCCGTTTAGTATATTGGGAATGCTTATTCTACTTTACTGTTAGTTAAGTAACATTTTGAAAGATCTGAGTACTCTTTCCACTACTCACTATTTTTCACCTGCAGCCTATATGTTGTTAAATCCAAACATTTAGATTTTTAATTAAAACCTTCTTCATTCTTTATAGCAAAAAGTTTCGAGATTAATTTCAGTTTATGAACTCAGAAAAATGAGGTAACTTTAATTTAAACACAAATTATTTAGTGGATTATAATTGAAAAAGCGTATTCCTGTTTTTGGTGCAGAATATATTGTAACCACTTCTGAAAGATTTCCGGGTAGAATTAAGGTGTATAGTGCTTCATACATAAAGTTTAAAAGTCACAAAGCTTAAATAACCTGAGATGACACCAAACACACAGCACTAAATAATAAATCATTCTTAAAAACAGTAGCTTGAAACAAACTGATGGAAGCACAAGTTTTACATTTTTAATTGAGTTGTTTCAAACAAAACCTGCAGAAAGTTAGAGAGAGAACCGGAGAGAAGCCTGCTGCTCTGACAGCTGTCAATCACCCTCACGGAGCGCTGCTGTAGGTCAGAGGGCAGCCCCGCCCACCTATGTGTCAATCAATCAGATCGGGGGCCAAAAGCCAAACAGGGAGATACTATAAAGAGACCACAGAGGGCGAGGGTTCGATTCCCTCTCACCTTAAACTGACACAAAGTCACTCTCGGCTCAAACTCAAACACTGATCGACATTTCATGAATACAAAAATTGAAAATGTGATATTCTGTTGTAAAAACACAGCTAGAAATACTGTTATTTGTTTTTGCTTCAATCAATGTCTTTATATTGATCCTTAGTGGTCATTATGAAGCAAATTCCTTGTATGTGTAAACCTGGTATCATATAAACTGGTGGAATTAAAACTACATTTACTGAAGTACTGTAATGAAGTTCAATTTGGAGGTTGACTTGAGTATTACAAAAAAAACGTTTACGAAAGTAGGAGTGCATTGTGTTTCCCTAAAGTAAAAGTACTGAAGCCCATCACTATGAGAATATCCTCCACATACTAATACACATATGTAAATAATTACGTTTTTGAATATTTTACAATATGTCTGTAGGGTATGAACACAGAGAGAAATAGCATCAATTGTTCCGCAACACAGACCGACGAGCAATTAATCTGCTATGACTCTCTCAAGTGAGTGTGTGTGTGTGTGTGTGTGTGTGTGTGTGTGTGTGTGTGTGTGTGTGTGTGTGTGTGTGTGTGTGTGTGTGTGTGTGTGTGTGTGTGTGTGTGTGCTGTTCAATATGAGGTCCATGAAATATGCATGAAGTACTGTATGTTTGAACCTCCCCCCCTCCCCTACAGGCCAGTACCAAGGTCCTTCAAGCGCATGAGCTCATATGAGCCTACACACACACACACACACATGAACACACAAACACACAACATGTTGCACCCTCGCCTCACATTGATGAATGTCTGTCCTTCAGAGAGCACGACAGCCACAGGAGAGTGATACAGTGGGAATGAGGACAGGCAAAGAGAGAGTGCGAGACACAGAGGGAAAGAGAAAAGGCAGAGCAATAAAAAAAAACACAAGAGGTAGGAGTGTGTTGTGGGCGGAGGTAGAGGCAAGAGGAGTGATGCAGGGTAGTGGAGGAAACAAGTTGGAGTGAAAAACAGCAGTGGGTGTTCAGCATTACTACAAAAACACAATATTGAAACGTACTGTGTGACCGGACCAGGTATTGGCAAGTGTAAATTGTGGCCATTATGTGTATTCTTGGATATTATACATACATCTGTAATGTTCTGCATATTAATTGTATTTATCTTAAAGTGACTTAAGTAGCATATCATACTGTATGCCATATGTTCAAGAAAAATTAACTCAAATGGAATTTAACTCAATATTTATATTGTTGAAATATATTGAGATCCATCAATTTATAATTATAATGTTTTAATTTATAATAATAATAAACAACAATGAATTTTTCTGGATTACTAATCTAAAGTGTTATTAATGTCATGCTTCTTTGTTGAACAGACAAGACCACTCACTTTCAACTACTGGTACATTGGTTTGGATGATCATGATCAAAATGTGTTGAGTCTCAATAGATATGTGGATACTTTTTTTTATTTTGTTTGCTTAATGTTTATGTTAGGTCCAGTATGAACTGTTGCTGGAACAAGGTTAACTTAATGTTAATTGTGTGTTTAGGTCTAAGATTTTTAACTATAAATAGAACTACATATTACTGCATACTGTATTTCTTTATACCATGTAGTGCTATAAAACCGCATTAAACAGATACTAAAAAAACATTCCACCACAGGTGTTAATCAATGTCACACTGACTACTAAGGGTAGGGTCGGTAAGGGGGTATGAAAGCCACATATCAAGTTACCACTGCAATAAATGGATTGGATGGCTCGTAGGAATAATATATCATTTGGAAGTCTAATAAAGACGATGTTGAAAAAATGAAAAGCAAAGAGGGCAGAGATAAAGGGGGGGGCGGTTCTTTGTCATATTGTTTTTTAAGTTACAGTAACTTTCTAATTAGGAAGACATTTGCTGCTGTGCTAATGAGCAACAAACTCTTTCAAGCAGAACAAACAACATAAAGACAAAGCACACATGCACAAACACACACAGTCTCACCAGGACACCAGCCCATCTGTTTGCTAGGGAATCTTGCTTCTTCTCAACTCTGCTTAAAAACAGAGTGGGAAAAAAAAGCATCCCACACACACAGTGAGTATGCAGACATGACATCATATTTCTCTGAGACTCTCTATGCAAAGAGCGTGGGCAGGAATGCGTGGGTAGCTAGTGTGATTACTACACTGTGAGAGCCAACACAGACAGAGAAACTACCAAAGCCAACTGTGTGTGTGTGTGTGTGTGTGTGTATCCTTGTCTGTCACTTAGAATTTGGGGCGATCCAAAGACATCTATTTCATCGCATTCATCTCCTTATCTCTGCCTTTCTCCCCCGACTTTGTTCCCTTCTACCCCCTTCTCTTTTCACTGCGTATTTGCTACTCAGTCATTTTTTCTCCTGTTTTGTTTGGCTGCCATGCCCTGTGAGCACTGTTTAATTCTCTCCCCTGCACTCCCTCTGGAGACTGAAGGGTTAGGAGGTGGGTGGGGGTTGAGATGGGGGAGGACAAGGGCAGAGGCACTTCATTAATCAATCAACCAGCTTTGAAAATGTACCTAATTAATGGCTAATTACAGATCTGGGCACCGTGCCAGCTGGCATCCAACCCACCTCCACCGATACGACCCCCGCAGTCCCCCAGATGACACTAGAAGTAAACACCCCGCCTTGCTCCCACTTTTTCTCTCTTCTTTATTAGTCTACCCATCCATGCATCCACTCACCCATTCTTTTTTCATCATCGGCAGAATAAACAGATCACAGCTGATATCTCAGACGACATAACAGAAAAATCTAGATCTCTCGCCACACTCTCATGTTGCACCATATGGCTGCCTGTTAGATTTTCTTTATGCGGTCTTACCGGAGAAATACCGGTGGTCACCACAGGGTCCTGGAGGCCCTCGGGAGGCACTGTCTCACCCCGACTCTGGCTGCCGCGGTCCTCCCCTTGTCCCTGCCAGCTCTCTCTGCGGGATGTGCACGCACGCCAAGCCCGCTGAATCCTGTGGATATAAGTGGACAAAACACGTATCAGTGACATCTGCATATCGGTAGGAAACTGAATTAGGGAGTTGCCATATGGGAGGCATAACTTTGGGAATCCTTGATTTTTAGACGTTTGCATTCCAGGCTATAACTTTACTGGTTTATTTATCAGTAAAACGATAAGAAACTTTTAAATCAATATGGTATTTTGATTTAAAACATGATCACAAAAAAGTACAAAATGATGTCACCATGCACCATATCTAATTTCTCTCTAAACACTGTATTTTCTTCTTTTGAGACTTTCCTTTCCTAAATGTATTTCTTGGCTATTCTGAAACATATTCTCTCTGGATATGTTTTCTCAGCTTTACTCCCCACCAAGTATCTCATCCCTGTTTTTCAACTTCCACAGATACCTCTCTCTGTCTCTCTCTTTAAACTTTATTTCCTCCCTGTAGTCACCCCAGCACCAAGGTCCAGGATGGAGTGTTGGATCAATTACCCGATGGAGGAACACATTCACCTCCATTGGAGCAGAGAGACAGCTGAGCCAAATGGAACAAATTGAATTAAGCCATAACTCCTAGCTCCAAAACCAATACTCCCCCCCCCCCTTCTTCCTGAATTCCTATTTCTCCACTTTTATTCTCCCTTTGCTCCGTCTATCTGTTCCTGCATCCTATTCCTTTGCCGTTTCTGTGAGGTTATCCTGAAATGTTTTACAATCCGTCTCACCTTTCTACACCCCAATCATGTTAACTCTATACAAAAACATTAGCTTTCTTTTCTCTATCCTCGTCTTCCAAGGAAGTGGAAGCCCGAGGCGAGAGCTGTCCCTGCCTGTTAAATCTATAAAAGCGAGGGCCCTTGTTTAGGGAAAATGGTGCGAGATGGCAGCCTACGAGGATTCATGCACTCAGAAGTGCACTCTGACCCTGGTTCTGAAACCTAATCAGCGGGACGATTGAATTAAAGCCGCACATAAATTGATTTCTCCCACACAACAAATAAAATGCACTTTTAAGGTCAGAGGTAACATGGATGGCACTCTGTGTGAAATTGACTCAAAGTGTAGAACAGGTGATACTCACACAATAGCCTTGATTTCCAGATGGTTTTGTTGCTCACGGCGACGAGGGCTATTGTCATCCTCTTCCTCACTCCTACGAGGACGGCCTCTATGATAATGACAAGATAGATAAACAACAAATGCCCATACACAACAAAAACAGCACACAGTTTTAAGCAAAACAAAATCAAGTTTATATTTCAAAGGATATTGAAAGTAATGGCATAATAAGCTCTTGGTAGAGAAAGAGGACGTCACGGTAGAGTTCATGCTCAATAGTGGGCCTTGTTATGGCAGAATAAGTGTCTATGATTTACATCAGAGTATACGACCCTTGTTGTAGATTAAGTGATGTCCATAAAATATGAGTACTTATGCATGGAACAGGAGAGACACTTTTGTGTAATGTCTTACCTCTCCACCTTGGGAACTGCTTGCCCTTCAATATGATTGCAGAAGCGATGATACCTCTTCACTTCATCCTGAAAAACATCAATATGCAACAAGGCTTTAATTCAAGGTTCAAGCACAGAGACCTCAGGCTCAACAGCGCCCTCTGTGACTGGATCCTGAACTTCCTGACGGGCAGACCCCAGGCAGTGCGGGTGGGAAACATCACATTCTCCACCCTGATCCTCAACACCGGAGCCCCTCAAGGCTGCGTGCTCAGCCCTCTCCACCCCCTGTTCACACACTGTTCACACACGACTGTGTGGCCAGACTTCTATCTATATGGCGCTGTGCGTGGCCACACACAGCAACAACACCATCGTGAAGTTTGCTGAGAGGAGGTCGAAAACCTGACATCTTGGTGCCAGGATAACAACCTCCATCTCAATGTCAGCAAAACCAAGGAGCTGATTGTGGATTACAGGAAGCAGCAGAGAGAGGGAAACGCCCCCATCGCCATCAATGGGACTACGGTGGAGAGAGTCAGCAGCTTCAGGTTCATCGGGGTCCACATCACTGAGGACCTGACATGGACTCACCACACCACCACCATCACCAAGAAAGCTCGACAGCGGCTCTTCTTCCTCCGCAGGCTGAGGAGGTTCAACATGGACTCCAGGATACTCTGCAACTTCTACAGGTGCACCATAGAGAGTATCCTGCATCACGGCCTGGTACGGCAGCCGCACCGCCCTCAACCGTAAGGCTTTACAGAGGGCGGTGAAAACTGCACAGAACATCACCAGGACGGAGCTGCCATCCATGGAGGACCTTTACTCTCAGCGGCTCAGGAAGAAATCCCTCCGGATTATAAAAGACCCCCATCACCCCAGCCACAAACATAGACTAAAACCACCAGACTCAGGGACAGTTTCATCCCACAGGCAATAAGACTGTTAAACACCTTAACAGTTGAAACAACATCCATGATATACATCTGGCTGCTACTTAAAAAATATTTTTAAATTATTGATCTATTTACGTATAATGTACATCCTATTTCAATAACTTGCATATAGACTCTTATTGCACTATTTCACTTTTTTTTTTAAAGTATTTTTCTTTTTGTATTACTATTTACTTGCACTATATTTGTTCTGTTTATCTGTGTTTTGTGTTGCTCTGTTGGAAAGCCTGTGACACAAGATTTTCTTTGGCATAACTACACTGTAGCTATGATTAAATAAAGAACCTTGAACCTTGTTATGACAAATAGATAAATAATGATAATAAATCAGAAGCATTTTGCGTATGTCAATCAATCAATGTTTATTTATATAGCCCAATATCACAAATGTTACATTTGTCTCAGTGGACTTCACAGTTTGTACAGAATATCCGTATGACAATACGACACCCTCTGTCCTTAGACCCTCACATCGTACAAGGAAAAACTTCCGGAGAAAACCCCACAGTTTAAAGGGAAAAATGGGAGAAACCTCAGGGAGAGCAACAGAGGAGGGATCCCTCTCCCAGGACGGACAGACGTGCAATAGATGCCGTGTGTAAATTGAAAAGATAATACATTTGCAACATAGGTAGTCCAAATGTTTGGAAATGCATGTGTGTATAATAGGAAGATGAATCCACGAGGATATCCATCCAGAACTTATGATCCAGGACCACAGCCACGACTCAAGATCCAGGACTCGCGATCCATGACACAGGACCGCNCCTTCTATAAATAAATACAAATACAAATGGGATTGCGCTGGAGAGATTCAGCAGCTTCAGGTTCCTTGGGGTCCACCTCACTGAGGACCTGACATGGACTCTTCACACCACCACCATCACCAAGAAAGCTCAACAGCATCTCTTCTTCCTCCGCAGGCTGAGGAGGTTCAACATGGATTCCAGGATCCTGACCTTCTACAGGTGCACCATAGAGAGGATCCTGACCTTCTACAGGTGCACCATAGAGAGGATCCTGACCTTCTACAGGTGCACCATAGAGAGGATCCTGACCTTCTACATCACGGCCTGGTACGGCAGCTGCACCGCCCTCAATCGTAAGGCTTTACAGAGGGGGGTGAAAACTGCACAGAACATCACCAGGACGGAGCTGCCATCCATGGAGGACCTTTACTCTCAGCGGCTCAGGAAGAAAGCCCTCAGGATTATAAAAGACCCTCATCACCCCAGCAACAAACTGTTCAGTCTGCTGCCGTCTGGCAGGCGTTACCGCAGCATCCGGACTAAAACCACCAGATTCAGAGACCGTTTCATACCACGGGCAATAAGACTGCTAAACAACTGAACTGCTGAAACAACATCTGTTAAACACCTGAACTGTTGAAACAAAATCCATAACATTCATCTGCTACTTAGTAATTATCTAAAATATCATTCCAATAGCTTGCATAATAGACTCTTATTTCACTTTAAAAAAAAAAAATTATTTTTGTATTTACTTTTTCATATTTATTTGCACTATATTTTTCAGTTTATCTGTATTATTGTGTTGCACTGTTGGAGAAGCCTGTGACCTAATATTTTCATCGACATAACTACTCTGTAGCTATGTTTGTATGACAAATAAAGAACCTTGAACCTTGAACCATAAAGATCCTGGATCAGGGGCAAAATCGGGAACATCCCCTGAGGAAAAACATACCATTGGGAAGGTTAGCTATTAATTAATTCACTGTTATTCAAATAGGCTTGGCAAAAGATAGGGAAACTTCTAAAATGACAATGGATTCAAGATAAACACTCACTCTCAGTTTAATTTGTCTCCATGGGATTCTTTTTTTGTATTTTATTTATAGTAATAAAGCAGACACATAGAAAAAAGGTTGGCTAATTAGTGTCGACTGAAATTGCCATCACTTTTTCACAGTTGTCAGCTACAATACTTGGCCTAAGGACATTAGTGAAGTTTGTTGCATCTGGATATTTTATGCTTTAATCAGGGAAGGTTGATGGCAGGAACAACCACATAAACAGCCTCTCAGATATCAGAAGAGCAGATGGGAAATGTTGCATCGTTTTAGATAATTTCTTCATTTCATGGCCATCCATCCCAAAGTACTGTATGATAACGATCTATTTATAAGTGAACCTCAAGTGCTGCTGATCCAATTGTGCAAGAGTTTACAGGAGTGAATACATAAACCTTGAAGTTCATAGAAAGGCTTTTTATTGTTTAAATGGTATTTGGGTTGATATGGTACGTGTTTGCCTATTTCATGGCATTAAGTAAGGTTATATCAATCCAGAAGAAAGTGTACTGCTATTGGTCCATTGCAGCAGTATTCTGTGCAGAGGTCATGTATCAAATGCAGTGTGAATGCTGTTGTCATAAGTACAATCATAAGTACAATCAAATAGCATGAATGGGTTTATATGATATAAGTGCAGCTTTACTGAGGCTGGACAGAGAAAGCCTCCAACGCAGAGAAGACAAAGAGCTTTATTGTATCCCAATTTCATACACTAACACTCTTAAGGTGCTTTTAGACATCGAGCCATTATTGCCCGCCGCCTCAATTGTTTGAAATGCTCTTTGCTGCCTCGATAGGGATTTATGATGATTAAAGACAGGGCCTGCGAAACACATTTCCAATAGACTGTGAAGAAGCAACTGTATTGACATTCCATCAAACTCTATTTTTTTGCAATTACAGCTAGGCTATATCTAAAATACGCATGATAACCCACTAGCCGCTGCTTTACTCCTCTCCTGTCTTGTAATAGCACTTCTGCCCAGAGAGGCGATAGTGTATAATTGTAGCATCAAATCTGCCCTAAATCCAAGTGACATGGGGTGTTTCTCAATCGCGAGTACGCTTGCTTGGTAGCACATGTCTTCCGAGCGTCTTGCTCCAGAAGGGAGGCAAGAATACTTCCTGGCATTCGGAACAGGCTAGCAAGTGTGCAGGTGTGCGTCATATGAGAGGCCCCGCCTTACATTTTCCGCCACAGATTTGGGGAAATTGGTCCGTGCGCAAAGCATTGTGGGGATTTTAAGACCGCGGAGTCTACACATGTGCAGCCTCGAAATTTCTCCAAACGAAGTACGCCAGGCTCGGTAGATTTCCAAGTATGCTGGACATTGGAACAGTACTTCAGCGGCACTCGATGACGTAGTATGCTTGAAATAGTGGCTCTAAAGCAGCTTTGCTCGGGATTGAGAAACACCCACAGCTATCAAAATGGTGGCTAAAGCTCATGGAAAGCAACCTTTACGCCTCGTCCACACAGCAGCTTTGAAAAAATCTTGAAAATCTTGGAGGTGGGTGTGTCTGAAAGCTTGGGGATTTTTTGCGAGCAACGCGACCAACAACCAATCACATGAATCTCCCGCCCCGACATACAAAGCAATAGCAATGTTAAAACGAAGTAAACTGGATATAAAATCCCCAAACAGGCGAAAACCTACCAGTTTCACCCACTGTCTCTGCCACCTCCCTCCATGCCTGGTTCCTCCGGTTTGTATCCCGGTAAATAGTTCTGGTCGTAAAGAACCGGGTGATTTGCTACCGTAATTTCTCGTTTGGAATATGAGGAAATGAACTGCGGTCTGGCTCTCCCAGTTTGCACGGGGTTTGATTGGCTAGCGCTTGTACTGTCAGATTTGCATAAACGGGATTTGATTGGCTGACGCTTCCAGCTCAGCTTCAAAAGTTGAACATTGCTCAACTTTTGAATCCTGAAATCCTGAAAATCTTCGCTTTGCTTCCCCACAATGCAGTTCGGCGAAAAGTGAGGCAAAGTGACGTCACTCCCATTCAAAGTCAATGGGCAGAGAAGCGTTGGAAGATTTTTTTAAAGCTGCTGTGTGGACGTACCGTTATGGTCATCTTAACCACCTGCTACCAGCAAGAAACCATGTTGTCGGCAAAAGTGACCTCAAAAGAAGCTATAAAAGAGAACACATCGTAGTAGCTTTCAACTACTGGAGACCTAGTTAAGAAATTATGTTTGATTCTGAACTCGCAGCCTTTTTCTTTTTCAGCTAGTCAGCAAAACGTATATTTAGTTTAACAAATTACAACACAAAACTCCACATTAGATGGCGTTGGTATATGGT